ATCGATAGCGCGTCGAGTCAGCGGGGGGCGAGTCAGCAGGAGCCACCAGTGAGCGGCGAGTCAGCAGCAGGCGAGTTAATCAGCAGCCGCCACCAGCGAGCACATACATGTTACATGCTGGAGGAGGTATGCACTCTCCGTGAGTGCCCTCTGTCTAGTTATATATGTATATGCGTGTGTGCGTGTGTGTGTATGTGTGTTTGTATACATATAAATATATAAATATACATATACATATACATATACATCAATACATGTACAAATATGTTTCAGTTTACTGTTGTCGTCAACGATGTGGAGCTAGCAAGGGAGGCATTTCTTAACCAGGGCGAACATACGGCGGCGCGACCATACCACTATGTGCTGCGTCGCTACGTGGCAGACGAACGAGGGGTCATGAAGGGTGCGTGCGTTATACGGTCATGTTCTATCATCACGTTATTACTACACATTATATCAAGTGCGCATGAACGCAAACGACAAGGGTGCGTCCGCTCTCCATTACATGAATAATGATAGATACCCAGGGATGAGCGGAAACCGATACGTTTTTTTTTAGATTATTTATTAAAATCATAGAAAAAGAAATTCAAACTTATTTTTAACATGAGTCAATGAGATCATGTCGTTGGAAGATGACCGAATTATTGTATGAGAACAATTAATTTTAGTTACTTATGCTAAAAAAAGCTAGACACTAGTCCTTTAACCTAGTCTTTTACCTATTCCTTTAAAACCCTTTCACTGCGGTTCCCGGCCGCGCAAATTTTTTTCCCCACTTGAGTTCCGGACCACAGCCAATCAGCGCACTCCATTCACTCGATTTCCTCGAAGCAACAATGTAAAACGAATACAACCTATCCCTAACGCTAAACCTAACCCTAACCCTAACCCTAACATGTAACAGAACCATAACACTAATTATAATCCAACCATATATATAAGAACCATTTATTACAAAACACTATCTATGGTGGGTCCGGAACTCAAATGGGAAAAAAAATTTCGCGGCCGGGACATCGTGCATGATGACATCGTGCATGATGACATCGTGCATGATGTTAGAGCCCTATGTTCTTGATTGACCTAGGAAAAAAAATCACGCGACCCGGCTGGAGTAATCACAGCAGGGGGACGGCAGCGTGTAGCGTTCCGATGCTAACACATACAGAATGTTCCAATCGATCGTACGACACTGTGTGTGGCTCCATCTTCTGAGAATTTTTAGATTA